AGGTACTATTTAGAGAATTGACAGAGCTATAATATTAGAAGAATATTAAACAACAAATTAGTGACAACTTTTAGAACACATTTTTTTTTTAATTTGTAACTCTTAAAATGTGACTGATAATAAAGTTATATTGTTATCACGACTTGATCCTGAAGCTTAAAAGTCATCATGTTGCCGTCAGTAAATTTTAAAATTGGGACTATATTGGATACTTAGGTAATAATATATATTTTCGGTCAAATAGGAAAAAACCTGTTGTTAAAGTAACCGAACCCACTTTTCATTTTTGTCATCCCTATGTATATTTCCAAAAATCACCACTATTTTATTTACACCAAATATGTATACTAGTATACAATTTAACTATTTGTGTGATGACGGATTAAAAATATGGAAGGTCACCACCCCTATTCATCCCGTGGGTGTCGTAAGAGCTGACTAAGGGAGAAAACTACGCAGGACAACAGCACTGCAAAGAGAAGGAAAACTTGAAACAAACCCTATACCATCCCGTCTGGCCAGCGTGTATAGTAGGCCAAAATCTCCTTTCTAAGGAGAAGCCTATGTAAAACACTGAACTATTATAGGCTGTTGATGATGATGATATATAAGTAAACAAAACGCAAGGAACACCGTGTTGAAAAATATCATAACGTCTATAAACAGCAACTGCTAAACCACATTATTTTACCCGACATTAGAGCATCTAACCGCATCGTAAAACGCCTTCTACCTCAAACTCACTCAATACATCACATTTTACATCATACGCTCACAAAACGCACTTGAAAGAGCCACAATATGACACCTATTTCCCATTCACTGTGGACTATTTACGCGTACAAATCGACACGACAGGACAGTTTATCACGCAGTCGCTACCCCAAGTCAGTTATCTGATAACGTAGTGAATGCTTCACCACATTTGTCTGCACCTCGCCTATTCTGCACTAGTGTAAAAATCGTCAGCGAATGTGCTAGATAGCGATCTGTCATTTGTGACTGGGAGGGGTCTCGGCGACTGTTTGCTCGCTTGTAGATAGTAATGTTTGATGTTTTACCTCTATTGTGGCTGCAGATTGACTTTGGACAAATTAATATTTTCACTAAAAGTGGTTTTTAAAAAGGTGTTTTATATGACGGTTTATGGATTATTTGAGAATAACGATATAGGATGTTGTTTTTTGTTGTTAATAATTACAAAGATAATTGTTGTTTTGCCTTCTAATATTGCTAGCAAGTAGCGGCTTCTACTGTATAATTATACATCTATTATTTACTTGTATATTATATTATATATATAAAAAAATTATATTATATAAAAAATATATCTATTATTTACTTGAACTACTTATGTATTTCAACTATAAAAAAATATATCTAAGTTTTAAATAGTTGCGCTAGTATTAATTCAATGCGTTATAATGAATATTCTGTTTCTTTTTTATTCAAAATACTACATTATATACGAAAAACTAAGAATGGAAAACCTAACCACATATCTTACTTTCTTATTTTTTTAAATAAGTCTTAAATGGCGTATGTAGCCACAAAGAAAACCACAAGCAAAATGTAGTAGTAGGCCTTGTATAAGCCCTGTATTTCTCCACATAGTATTTATTATTTTTCCCGGTCAAAGTTAGGACAAACACACTTTAGAATAGCCAACATAAACAGCTAAATACATGGATTGGATCTTGCAACCTACTATAGAATTGCAAACACACACCTTACATAAAGCAATATACCTATTTATATGCAAAATGTATCAACTACTTACCACGAGACAGAGGCAGAAAAGCTATGAATTGGTCGGAGCGAGCGAGCCGTCCGCGTCGATTGCCGTAATTTATATAAAAAGAATTTCATCGGTATAGTTCGCCAGACAAATCGATTCGAAAAAATGTTTCATCAACAATAATTTTATTATCGTAATAACAAAATTACTGGTTTAACGTACGTACAATTCTCATCTTTAAATTTATTAAAATAGGGTTCTTCCAACATTTACTTATATATCAAGGGGAGAAATGGAACCTTTTGTTAGCCTATAGCATTATTATTTCTCATTTTGTTTTGTTTATTAATACAATTGGCTGGAGGCGCAATATTGATATTCAAGTTTGATGATGACTTGCGCCCGTCTTTTCCCTGTGCTCTGTATTTTTATGAGTTTAATAACAAATGCATTGCTTTGTTTTATTTTATTTAATTAGACATTTTTTTTTTTTTAACTTTGGATATAAATGTTCATAAACATTTATAAATAATAGATAATTTAATTATAAAAAGGTGTCATTTATCTTCTACATCAGATACTTAAGTCCTCTCTCTAAGTTTAAGTCGCTCTAAGCAAAATAAGATCAATATGTGTTACTAACATTTTAAATATTTGTACTATGTTTAGTGCACATGTAAGGGGTTTGTAAAAAATGTTCATCATAAATATGCTGAGCTCAAAATTTCATCGAAAGCAGTTTAATTCGGGCCGCAGAGAACTAGTTATATACTCTATCTCTTTTCATAAAACTTCATTTCTCCTTTATCTTCTTCTCTATTCTATCATTGCAACAATATTACTACATCTAATCATTCTTGGTAGAAATGAAGAACGAATCTTACAATCATTCATTAAAGACTCCGTTTATTGTATACGTAGTTTAAAACTTGACATAGGTCAATATGTAAATTCAATAGGTAAATAGGTAAATAAATCTAATCTTGAACCTTCGGATTCCAGATCCGAAGGTTCAAGATTAGATTTATTTTAATTCTGGAAAAGTACAGCTCGAAATAATTTACTTAAAGGCATTGTATTTAAGTAAAGCGTTTACTATGAAACGGAATTATTTTTAAATCGTTCTCATACCATAAAGCACGGTTATTTCTCATCGAGAAAACGGAATGACGTGAATAAATAACTGGCAGAAATATCAATTAAACAATTATGCTGTCTGAATGGAATCGTTTGTAATGATAGTGGGCCTGGCTATAACTCAGCCGCATCTGTACTACGGCTATTTGCAAAAGGCACGACATGCATCGCGAGTGAACAACACATAAACCTATCTTTGACTCATATATATATAGATATGATATATTATTCAAAAAAAATTATTCTGTAAATATTTCCCCCTTTTTAATCAGCTACTAATTTCACCTACTCCGGTTTCCTAAAATAATATATCCAAAATTTATTGATGAAGGATTTTGACGGGCCTGTTGGTTGTGGTGGTGGTGACAATGGTTTGTGAACCTGACTACTAAGCCGGTGGTCGTGAGTTCGATTCCCACGCAGGATGAATATTGTGTGACGAGCACGGTCATTTGTTCCATATCTGGATATAATCTATACTAATATTATAAAGCTGAAGAGTTTGTTTGTTTGTTTGTTTGTTTGAACGCGCTAATCTCAGGAACTACTGGTCCGATTTGAAAAATTCTTTCAGTGTTAGATAGCCCATTTATCGAGGAAGGCTATAGGCTATATATCATCACGCTAAGAGCAATAGGAGCGGAGCACCAATAAAGAATGTTTCAAAAACGGAGAAAATTTATTACTTGAGAGACGCAGACGAAGTTGCGCGGGTCAGCTAGTCTATACTAATATTATAAAGCTGAAGAGTTTGTTTGTTTGTTTGTTTGTTTGAACGCGCTAATCTCAGGAACTACTGGTCCGATTTGAAAAATTCTTTCAGTGTTAGATAGCCCATTTATCGAGGAAGGCTATAGGCTATATATCATCACGCTAAGACCAATAGGAGCGGAGCACCAATGAAAAATGTTTCAAAAACCGAGAAAATTTATTACTATTGAGAGACGCAGACGAAGTTGCGCGGCTAAGCTAGTTTATTTATAAAATGTATATATTTAAAAATATGTCGGTATGTTTATCAGCACTCTAGTTACCATAGCACAGGCTCTACCTAGTTTGGGATCAGACGGCCGTGTGTGAGATGTGTGAGGCACATTATTATTATAATTTATTTTTAGTTTTAGTCTCCTTAAAAAGTAAGTTTAGGTATTTTAGGCACCCTCTTAATGCCTAAGGCAACAAGTGTCAATAGGTACCAAAGTAAGTAACAGTAAAAGTTAGTATATGTATGTATACTAATTATATCATATGCTAATTATACCCATAATATTACTCGTATTAAGTACACGCCTAAACATTAAGGTTTATGCATTAAATTAATACAAACGCATAAATATAAGTAACTATCTTAAAGTACAGCCTGGAGCCATTTCATACGTGTTGGAGGCACATATCATACAAGTAGGTACTGCCACCTAGAATGTACAACCAAACTGCTGTTTACCGACTATTTTCTAATTTTAATAATTTCGCGTAATAACGTAATAAATAGACAAGACGTAATGCGATGCAAATGAAACGTGTGTCGTTAATACACGCCCGATACGAGAATATAGAACATACAGGTTAAAATACGTGATCTAAGATCCTAACAGCAGCTAATCAATGTTGCTTATACGTCCCACTACGCAGAATCGATTCACGCGATCTCAACTAATATCGATTATAACATTTACATCGATAGAGCTTCCTGCATGTTACAGTGTCTCTATCATAATCTATGATAATTTCATATGTAAATTCTGAAATGGGGTTTTGGATTTCTGGGAAATCACACCTATGTATTTGTGATTCTTCATCGTCTATAAATGCAGATAGCAAAACCTTGATACCTATTTAAACTTGTTTTCTATTTAATTGCAATTAATTGTCTGCTTTACGCTTGAGTGTATTCATAGCCACTGTACGGTCCGCACGGTGCATTCGACAACAGTAACATACATAGTAACAATTACTCTTTGAGAACATTATCATTTGTAGAACCCTTTAATAATGTTAGTAACAACAAACCGCCAGTGATTCAATACCTTGCATCCCAAATAATATTACATTTACAAATATTATATTAAATATAAACACCGTCTGGGTATCATGATTTTCTTTTGAAATAAAAAAAAACACTTACCTTTCTCGTAACTAATCTGTCTCTCCTGCTGCCGGGCGTTATCGGCGGCCACTTTCAGTAATCCCTGAATGTTTCGAAGAAGGGTCTCAGTGGAAGAGACCAGTGTGTCTGCGGTGGGGTCTACCGGTACGTTGGTTGGCGACCCAGACTGGGCCGCGTAGCTCACCGGTGCAGGTGATAACGAAGCTGGCAATTCGCGTTCGCCTTCGCTTAGATCTCCACCTATGATCAAACAATAATGATACATAAAACATACCTTCAGCAAAAAATTGAATATAAAAATAATACTGACAAGGTCGATATTAAAAAGAAAGTAGGCATTAATGTAATTTTATACAGGATAATACTTTCAAGTCCAATCGTACGGTATTTACATTATTTTATAATTAAATAACTTTGGAAAGATAAATGTTAATTTTAAATTTCTCTCTCATTCCTCAATTCTCAAAACAAAACTTATTTATGTGAGACCCTACTATTTATACAATTTACCCTGCATCTAATACATAAAATTTGAAAATGACCATTTAAATGTTTGCATTACCTATGGTGAGCAATTATTCATTATTAAAAATTATCTAAAACTTTTACATTTGGTTGCAACAGTTGAGATGTTATCAATGGGATTGCTCGCCTTCTAGGACTATCTCTAAATGCTATATCTCTAAATGCATGCAATGTCTTTTATTTTGATTCAACAACTGATACTTCATACTGAAATTATTTTTTAATAATAATATATAATGGCTTTACAGAATGGTCATTAATAGTCAATTGGTTAAAAACTATAAAATAATCTAAAACATTTTGATTGACAAAATAAAACAACTCAATTGCTCTTTTTTTTATGGCTCGGCACCATTCGTGCATTGGGCCAGTGTCAAGTATTTAACTCAATTGCTTTGTGATTTTTCCATTATCGTCAGATAAAGAAATAGGCAAAAAAAAAGAAATAAGAATAAGTATGGTCATGATTTTTAAAGTTGCGAATCATATTTTAACGTAATTTTGTGTCAAAAAAAAAAAAGAAAAATTTGCCTAACATTGACAGTGCCTATAACTGTCATAATTGTATATAGGTACTTATTTGTAAGTAAAAACATTTGAAAAACTAAACTAAACTATTTCGATGAGTAAACAGAGAATTTTATTTTCCCTATTTTAGTTAATATTTAATATTCAATAAATAATTATTGAATATTAACAAAAGGGTCATAATCGGGCCTTAATATGACGTTTTTAGCCAATGACAAGAATTTCATTAACCTTCTCATCCGTGTTTATTTTGTATACTATCTATGGCCAGGTTTTAGTTTTTTCAATAAAAATAAATTATTTTTCGTCGACACTAATGTTACTGACATCTATTTTGCATCTATGTGTATGTACTGTATAACTAACCTAAGAAATGCTGTTACTGTATTAGAAAATTTGTTAATTACTTTGGCGTTAGTAAAAATTATATTATTACATATTGCGGTTGTTTTTCTACTACAAGTAATGCTAATAAAGTTTATACAGTAAATGCAAGCGTTTGTAATCTGACTAGGCATGACCAATAACATTTAAAAAAAACGAGTATGTAGGTATGTTCATTCAGTTCATAATTATTATTGCGATTATATTATCTCGTATTGATCATCAGCAAAGCTTTGATCAAGTTCGCAATGAATGTCCGCGTGCTTATTCTGACATACACTCTAGTTATTGTAAATATTTATTTTTAGGTTGGCGTTAATTCTAACTGTACTAAATTAACTGGTACTTAAACGTTCAATATTCAAGCACCACGTAGACGGGGGTTTAAACACTATTGATTATTGCAGTGATGTTTTAATGACATTTCAATAAAGACTGTTGACTCAGGAATGATTGATGATGATTCAACAAAAATCTGCTTAAAGATCACTATATTTTGTTTAATACTCGTAGTTGATGAGACTTTTAATCGGGATAGCTTATAATTTAAACTTTTTAACCAATTTTGTTATGCTACTTGTATGCATATTCAAGTGTAGCCGTATACCTAGTAATCTGATAAAATTTAGATTAATAATATTTTTTTCATACAGCCGCTATTTTGAAATTCCGTTTTACAAAGTAAAATTATTAATGATTGCCTAATCAAAACGCTTCTATTAACACACTAAAATCACTTATGCTAAACATAAATAGTAAAATAGCTTAATTTTTCGGATTTATTTTTCAGATTAACAGAATAGGGACTCTAGAAAGTTATTCGACACCGAATGGGCTGTCTCTAACCGATTTATATGCCTCGCTGCACTAGGCCGCAAGTTATTCGCTAAGAGAACAGCCCAGCTATTTGAATATCGTATCGATTTTAATCCATTATTACTCTCTTGGCATTTCAGACAAAGACATTTTGAAAATCTGACGTCATGCACGTTTATATTTTATGATGACATAAGGAAGTACCTTAGTAAGAGTCAGTTCAGCAAATCTATTAAAAATGTTAAGTTGGTTTGTGTACGCTTCAAAATCTCAAAAAGTTCTGCACCCATTGAGCTTAAATTTTGACACGATATACTTGTTTCAAATATTGTTTTTATCTATTTTTCGCATCAGTTTTGTTCTTCATTTCTTATCAAAGCAACCAAAATGTGCCACAGCGAGGCCTGGCGGGGCACAGCTAGTAAGTAATATATAGATATTTATTTATTTATTTAGAAATGACGAGATAATTACCATAATGTACCCTTTATGTCAATAATGGACCTCACACATAAAAAAGAAAGTACTTCGATTGCCGTCTCTCAGGGTCTAAAATAATCTATCGATACATTTAATTTTACTGACAAGATAGTGACCGCTCATCAAATAATGAAGACAACATCGTTTCGTCATTGTCGATGCGCACGATAGCACTCTCGGGTTGTCACAACACCATCTCCCTAATAAGGCCAATTAACAGGAACCTACGAGTTTTTTAACAAACGAACATAAGCTCTATAACTAATACCAAGGATCCATAATCAATCGCCACGCGAGATTGACTGAAAGAGTTCACGGATATAAAACGAAATTAGATTCGAGATGAGAATGTTGATTGAAACGAAAAGGTAACATTAGACGAACAAAGATCAAAGTTGAATGACACGAACTTATATAAAAAGTGTTTTTATAATGAGATCAGGGTGATCGTGACGAGCGTGAATTACGTATCGACAGAATTAATTGTTAATAAAGTTTAAAAATGATCTTGCGCCACAAATAAATGCAAACAGATTTGAATTATGGACTTTCTTATAGGATCCTTTGTCTATGAAAAATTCCCGGGGCTCATCCCGTAATTTTGCGACCACGCCGGTGTTTCCTATAAATCGTAGCCAGTTACTCGTTCCCACGCTCTCTGAGCATTTTGTGTGGAGCTTGTAACAACCAATACACAATCCTTATTGTTTCACTTAATTTAGCTATTGTATGCACCAAGTATTTACATTTGTGGATCAATGTTATGATTTGCACCATCGTGTCAGTTACCATAGTGTGCAGTTGCGTACTTTAACTATTTAATATTGTTATGAGTAGGTATATAGAAGCAGTTCAATAGTTAATACTTATTTTCATACTTAGTCTTTGCATAAGTGGATTTAATAAATCCACCTATACATATACCATTTAGGTATTATTTTTCTTTTAAAAGTAGTTAGTTTTATAATTTTCGCATTTATATCTGATACATCAAAAAGATGAACAGAGGGTCCTATAAAGATGAGAAGTCGAAGATGTCATTTCTTCAAGTCCGTCTCTTTAGAAGTCGTTGTCCAGCAATAGATATCCTATTTCTGAGATAACTATGATAATGATATATCTTATAATAATTACTAAGATTTAAAAACTGATTGCATCAGTAACTAGTTTTTATTTGATTGATGACACTAAAAGATACTATCCTAAATTGATTAAATTATTAATCAACAGTATTAAGCATACTAATAAAAAACTGAGCATGAAACGAACCTAATTCTTGTCACCAAAGAAATTGTCATGCCATCGATCAATTGTCTTTAATGGTGTTAATAGTTCATCATATATGGAGGTTAACTAAACGTATAGTAGACATATCCGTAATACATATTTTATTACTACAAATATGAGATAACACGTCATCAAAGCTGTAGTAATCTCGGTTTCATTTAAACTATTACTATACTGTTTTATTTGTGTAATTTAAACTAGTCAGTTACACCATTTTAAAGTATTTTGACCTAAAGGTAATGCCAAACAATACATTTTAAACTACAACAAAAGGTTTCGTGTTCGCGTGTAAAATTAAATCAGGTCCTTTTAAGCGCTATTCATACATCATTGGGGGCAATTGCGGGCGATACTGGTAATAAGATTTTATTATATAGGACCATTACAAGCATACGTGCGGTGTCTAGGGATCAAAACATTAAAACGTATGGGAACGCAAGTGCATGATCATTCGCTAATCGTCCTCCAGGATGTGCTCGCTCTTGTCTATTATACTTTGTTACCTTTTTATATAGGATTTACGCTAGATTGTACCATTCGATATTATTAATTTATAAGCCGCAGTAAAAACCAGTTTATTTTATTGGACTATAAAATAATTAACAGTGGTTTACATTGTTTCGCCGAGAAGCGATTTTACTTAAGTAATACCAGTCTAGAATAAAAGGAACCACAGTTTTATGACTGATAATTTCCGAACTATGAATGCTGAAGGTCCCAGAGCTATTACTGGGTAATTTTGTAGTACATTACATGGCAAGTATATTGAACGGGTGATACCGTGCTGTGTTAATGTAACACGGACATTTTCTTGTCCTGCATCTAGCCGTGAACGGATCCACCCAGGCTAATTTATCGGAATATCTAATTTATATTAAATTAAAATATCTCAGCCGCTAATAGATCGAAACTCAATATTTATTGCTAAATCGACTTTTAAATTGAGTTTCCATTTCTAGTTTAAAAGATTAAGGGACACGTTCATTGCAAGTTTTGTACAGAATGTGCTTTCTTATTAATAAAGAGTACTGTAGTGATCCTTTAACTTTGTATCCGTTTTACGTATGTTTGCAAAGTGGGGCGAAACAGGATAATCTTATATATAAAATTCTCGTGTCATAATGTTAGTTACCATACTCCTCCGAAACGGCTGGACCGATTTTTATGAAATTTTGTGTGCACATCGGGTAGGTCTGAGAACCGGCCAACATCTATTTTTCATACCCCTAAATGACAAGGGTGACCCTCCCCTAATATTTTTTTTCAATATTTCCTAGAAATAATGTATATGGCAAAACAACGTTTGCCGGGTCGGCTAGTAATATATATATAATATTCCTATAATATTCCTAATTGTCTTTTTAAATAAAAAAATATATATGATGAATTGTCCATACGTTTTCTGATAGAAAAGAACAAATTTGTACGATTTTACGAAAAACGTGCCATTATAAAGGTTAAGGGCGCAATTTGCCCTTTAAACTTTATTTAAAAATCGGCAATACGGTATTTTAGTCTAGACTTAAAAACTAATAATCTAATCTATCTAATAATAATAGAAGAATCATTTTGGTAGTTAAAAATGGTAATTAAGAAGGATAATATTAAATGGTGGGTTCAGCCTTTCTCTAATCCGTAAAAGTTATCCGCTTATCAAAGATCGTTTAACAATTATGTCACTGTACAAAAGAACATAAGTAAAAAAGTATTTTTACCGTCGTCTTCATCTTTAACATTGTGATCTTCTTGGTCAGAGAGCGGCGCATCACTTTCGTCTGAATGCGATCGCGGACTGGCAGCGGCTGTTGCAGCAGACGGCAGTCGAGGCGGCTGTGGGCTTCGGCGTGAGGCTGCCGAACTTCGGCCGCTCGCTGAACCTTCACCCCGATCGCGATCACGGTCGCTCCGTTCCATCCTTTCACGTTCTCCACCGGAACCAGATTTTGACAAGTTGAGTACTGGACTGTGGCCTGGGGAAGAACCTGTTTTATATTGTAAGGTTAGCTAATATTCTTAATAGTCTAGCTTACGCTAAAATTACTCGGTGTTTTTTAAATTAATAGTAATTAAAGCTCATTAGGACCATTGATTATTGTTATAGTTTATGTAATGATGTGTTTAAATTTTGTGTGAGATTGTAGAAAGACAAAACTGAATTCCTACAGAACTACATATTATGCATGATACATATGTGTTGATTATTGAAATTTTAAAATTCAAAACTTATTGTTGACAATGTGGTTGAAGGAAATTCTTCAGTAAAATAAGCAAAAAAAGCAGGTTTCTAAAATTATATTAGATGTAAATGCTTGAAAAACTACAGTTACAGACAAAAGAAGTAATTTTAAAGTCAGGTATAATTTTAAACCGACTTACTGTAGCGTAACCGTATAATGTTCGATTTGCAACTAATCAAATGAATCAGAAAGTGTTGCGGTTTGTTCGACAATGTTTTACTTCAGTCTGATTGTTAATTACAATTTAAACCATTACAAATGAAACGAGATCTAATAACAAGAGCATTGCGAATCTTACCGTTATGTGAACCTTCCCGGGCCTTATCCATCGCCATCACTCGCTCCATGTCGCTTCTTTCGTCACGCAATCTGCAACAAACATACCATACATTAAGATAAAGCATAATAACATCGGAATGATTCGATATCTCGTTAAGAAAGTTAAAAGTTGATATAATCACAAAGTTGGTCACGCTACCGCATAAAATGATTCCTTACAATGCTACTTACAAACAATTTTATCATTTGAAACCATAAAGCATGCTTCCCACTGCGTTGTGGAGCTACCACAAAGGCAGAAGTATAATATTATAGAACCCCGCTGAGTTTCTTTGTGAACGGATAAAGTCGGTATATGTAATCATTTTGTATGCCGATCTCTCATACAGCTACCCTAATTCTGTAGGTCCTTTTTGATTGTGAATTATTGGACTTTTGATGCTTCCGTTCCGATTCTGTTTTTATTAATATTTACTTATTAACTTTTTTGTTTGTTCCCTCTGTTTTTTAAACTTCGAGTTTTTTAAACCATGTTGTGAATCAAACAAAAATAGGAACAATGAAAACTTTACAAACTTGTATCTGATAGATAACTAAACTGAAGTTGGAATAGATTAAATACTTTTCATTGGTAAATTACGAAGGACAAATAAACTCTTTGTAGTTAACATATGTAGGTAGGTATAGATGTAAAAGAATATTGTTATTAAACGAAGTTATTCTTTTCAAAGGGATTAATACTACAATTTTTGCACAGTAATGCCTTTCGAGCATTTGAATATAAATGACGTCTGAAAGTGAAATGTAACATACATAATAAGTGGCTGTTTTAAGCCTTCACGGAACCCTTTTGCGGATTACAGGGTAATGACAAAACAGAGGGTCTATGTTATAAGATCGAAGTATTAAAGTGCAGTCGGTGTTTATTTATGTTTATATTTAGTTTCATGTTGTATTCGAATATATGTAATAATTATTTAATTCCTCTTTGGCCATTCCGTACAACTTTCTTCAACAAGATTTGAGTACCGAGCCATAATTTATTTGTAATATTTTATATTTAAATTTAAAAAAATATAGATATTTAATCAAACTTTAGAAAATATGAAGCAAATATCAAAAAGTTATTTTGTGGTGGTTCAAGATTATTAAAACAACTTTTTTTTTAATTTTATACGGATGCCTCTTGCCTTGAAATCATATTCACACCTATTTTAAAATTAAATATAGTAGTATACAGCTTAATAGAATGAGAAAAAGTGGGTCGAATCCTAACTCATCTGTGACAGTGAGATATTCTCTATATTGCTTTTTACTCTATGCCTGAACCCTCCAAATGGAGTCGTTTGGTACTTTACTGACGAGTCACGGAGCTCCGTTTGAATTTAATATATTTTTCATTTCCGTCGCCATTAATATGTAAATAATTCTTCAGACCGTTAAAATCTTTTGATCATGTTTTTATAATATAAAATTGTTCAAAATATTTCTTACCCTAAGTTTACACGATATTCCATGTAGTATATATAAAAATAGACAATTATAGATTTATATGTGAAGTTGGTTTGAAAGTACTTACGAGTACATACAGCCGCCTTGATTAGATTGCCGGTCTGTCTGGTCATATAAACCCATAAGGAAAGCCAGTCAAACTTAATAGTAATAGTAGTCAAACAGATAAAACCAGGTCAAAATATTAAAGAAAAAATAACCGTTAACAATATGATTTACAATTTCAAGAAATTAGTTCACAAGCTAATTATTGGAAAGAAAAAAACTAACTGCGTGAAAATGTACAGGTACTTAAAAGTTTACAAACCGGCGATTTTAATTTTCGTATATCCAATGTCACCCTAACAATGAAGACGAAACACCTCAAACGCCAAAATCCATATTTGGCTACAGAGCCTACAAAAAAATACACACACTCGAAAAACACAACCCTCTTTTTTGGCACAGTTAGGTAAAAATTGTACACTTCAATTACACCTGTTCACTAGTCATGTCACGGCATTCTAAACAGTGACAGTTTAAGTTAAATCAATAATTAATATTATAAATATGAAAGTGTGTCTGTCTATCTGTCTGTCTGATACCTCTTCACTCCTTAACCGCTGAACCGGTTTAGATGATATTTGGTATAGAGATAGTTCAAATCTCGGAAAAAGATATAGGATAACTTTTATCCCAGAATTCATCATTTAGGTTGTGAAAACGGAGGTGAATGTTTGTATGAGAAATCAATAAATGCTGAACCGATTTAGATGAAATTTGGCATGGAGATAACTTGATTGTTAAGAAAGGATACCCATGCGATAACCCACATACATGCAGGTGGAGACGCGGGCTTCATGCACATTTACACATTCGAGCTCTAGCTACATATTAACAGGCAAAGGAATAAAAAACCTTCTACCTAAACAATTTATCTATTTGTATTTATTATTTACTAACTTTTGCCCGTTGCTCCGCCCGAGTGTATGTAGATTATCGCGGTAAAATTAGCCTGTGTTAATCGCTGACAATATAGCTTTCTATTAGTGAAAAAAAAAGTAAAATCATTTAAGTAGTTTAGGCGTGGAAGCGTAACAAACAAAGAAATCAAGAAACTCACTTTCATATTTATAGTTTACGTATGAATTCTAAGCAGTTATCATTTTTACTATAAAGTATGCAGTTAAGGATTTTTTTGTAAATTGAGACCCGTTAACAAGATGCCTTAGAACCCTAACGAATCAAAGAGAAACGATCGACTCACGGCTACGCGATCGGACAAAAGATAACTCCAAATCAATAAAATAATAAATTATATCCACTTCCTCCATTTTGTTTTTATCGTAACAAAAGTGTTGGTTTGATTGATGGTGTTAGTTCAAGCTGAAATTAAAACAGATATGGCTTATTTTCAAATGTTTGATTATGAGAACTCAAGATGTTTGACGATCAATCTATTTAATTTTATCAGCTTCCTTTCAACAAGTTTGAACTACACGGTTTTTTAAATATAGATAAACACACAATATGGTAGATATTAATTAATTGCATTAAGGGTGTGGGCAGAATCTTTTATTAATTTCAGAGAAAACTGACATCATCAAACGAAAACCTCGTGCTAAGTGGTTAAGGTTTCGCACGCACCCAGTGTGTTTCCGAATCTTATTTAAAAGGTTTAAAACGAATACCTACATGTTATTGCTTTAATAAAAAAAGTGTAAATGTTTAAAATATATTTCAAACAACTACTTAGTCAGTACTATATCCATCAGGAGTGTTGGCTAACTTTGATTTACCCAACCTCCTTCAATAATAGAGATGTTTCATGTACAATGTTTCTATGTACATGGGGATTTATCAAAGTTCACAATTGCGAATGTAACACTTACAATTTCGCACATAAAGAGTTTGAATTAAACGCATACTCAAGTTGTTTAGCACGTAATATTCAGATGTAGATAAATTAACAAACACCCCATCTGTCGGCGCCAGCCATCATCAGTCTGCTACGAAATAATATTATTCATTCACTTGTCAAAAGGCAAATTGGCGACGAATCGTTCCGTACTCTGAATTACAAAAATAAAAAGTAATGGTGGCGTCAATCTAATTTGTTATAAGAGCATTTGCATTTTTATTGTACCTTTTTGAAAATCCACTTTGAAAAATTTGTTTATTTAGAAATAACTGTTGCGTCAATTTGGGAGATTTAAGTAATTTTTTTTTAAATACCTAATTTGACATAGAAAAGGTTTTATCTAACCGTATAGCAGTATTTTAGTAAATTCATCTCATTCGTTGCCGAAGTACTTAGTCTACAAGGCCTGCCATTGGATTACCAGAATATCTTTTGATTTCAATAAAATCTGTTAATAAGTAAAATAACTTACAAAGAAAGGTTGTTGTACCTAAGATTATAGAACACGTGTCTCTATTTAGCTCGCTAAATATATATATATTGTAAGCCTTATATTATTATTCTATACACTTTAAATTATTCTATAAATAGTTTTGGAGCACTTATTATAATAAATAAGTAGATAACAAATACAACAACATATTTATCTTTACTGTAAAGAAATTGAACATGTTTAACCATGTCGAATAAAAGTCTTATCGAACCGTCGTCATTGTTTCAATATAAATAGGCAGAAGTTTAATCCCCCGTATCAGAGGTTGCTCATCGCTGAATAACGAACTATCGTCGTAGCATTATTTAGCATAAAAAGCACATAATGAAGTAATACGAAGGTAAACATAGTTACCGCTAACCATTGCCATTACAGAATGGGTAGTGGCCTAAACAGATATTCCGGGGCCACGAGCGCGGACAATGCGTTGCAATCTACCAGCAAAGCCAACGCACGTTGATTAGTTAATACTGGCCCGTTCACATAACCTAATGCCGCACTACCGACCGTTCCGAACCGTTCTTGTATGCATAATCTGATTAGCGCAAGTATTAAACAGACAGCACTATTACCGAAAGCTTTGCTTTCGGTAATAGTGCTGTCAATTTACATACCCAAGTTCCGCAGAATGCAATGTTGATTAAAACTGTAGAAACAATGTATCCTCATAACTGAACACTCATAATTAAGTCTCGACGAATTTGCATTCCCAAGAATCGATTAAGAAAATCAAATCCGGTTGGAGCGTCACTGCGTAAAACATTTGCTTGACACCCAAATCAAAAATCGTTTTAGCTCACCCCTGCGAGGGAGAGCTGGGGTACGTCGACGCCTCAACATTTATTATTTCAGACATATCACTCACATGCAAAACAAACTTCGTCCGATCCATCAAAAAGTTTCGTCTCATCTTCCCTGTTTCTTCCGCAACAAATCGAGTGTGTAAGTATCGCGGTTTCGAGATATCGATATTTCATGACTATTGTATGACAAATAAACGGTTTATTTTAATGAAAGTAAATGGAACAATGTTCTAAGATACACTATAGGTATAATCATATAATTATATGTGTCATGTGTGAGATGTGTAAAGTTATTATTAATTATAGGAAATTGTTCACATTGTTCCTATTGCGAGTATTTTTGTCGTAAACGCACGAACCAGCCCTCGAAGTTCACGAAGGA